CGCTGACACCATCGGATCCTTTCTTTTATTTAGGGCCTTCTATACAAGGCAACAAATAAAACCTATAGAGTTGTCAAGAATCAGCTAAGAAAAAGCCATATAATACCATATTACGATAACATAGTCAATAAAATGATAATAAGAATATGATGTGTATAAATCCTCTACGTGGATGGCGGAAATCACGCCTCGGCTAGATGAGCCATTGACGTAGACTACAATACATGTATAGCTTAAATATAAGTAGGCCTACATTGTGTCGTGACGAAACAAATGAGACTGCAATGTTGATTCTCTAGTAGATCTAATCCAGCTGCACCTTTTTTTTGGTGTTTTCTCATGTTGTGTGGCCAGTAAACTAGTCAGCCACTTGAACCTGATTACGTCAATGGTGAAGTACTTAATATCCTGCCTGCTCATGATTATTCCTCGTAAATGTACGGGCTTGAAAGCTGACAATTGAAACCAGCGTCAGGTGCTGCAGCGGTTTTCGTATAGGCACTTCACTGTTGCAAGCAGTTGAATAATAAAATCCGAGTGGGAGAATTTTTATTTTTATTGAGTAGGCCTGGCTATCTGTCCTTCCCCTGGGGTTACATTTGTATATATCCCTCTCAGCCAAGTTGCCATGACAGGCAGGGTCGAAGCCCGCCTCATAAAAAACCCATCTATGATTAATGAAAAACAACAACAGCAACAACAACAACAAGCAACGAACAACAACAACAACAACAACAACAACAACAACAACAACAACAACAACAACATCCGAGCAAACAAAATTAAACATTTGAAGTGGTTACTACCTTAAATGCTAATCTGCATCGTTAAATTGCTCATATCAACATTTGGGAAAGGTTTGGGGTGTCCTACATAAATTATGTAAGCTTATACACCCCCATCGATCGACAAAGTTTTGTCATTTAGGAGGCAGGTTTCCTCCCTGTCTGTCAGGATCAACTCATTCTGAGAAGGATACAGCTACCCAGCAGAAAGACTGAAATGGTGTACGTAGGCCTAGTCAATAAAAATTCTCCTCACTCCGGAATTGAACTCAGGTCTTTTGCGAGCTAAGGCAAAACGCCTCATGTTTCGAAATATTGCTACCAACAGCGCACTCCTTAGCCTGACAACGCTGATTAAATAATATTATTGAATCTGTTCAGCCTCAGCCGGACTGAAAAGAGAGATAGAAAACTTTTGAGTCTTTTTAAGCGGTAATATTGAGAAGAGATACCATATAAATAGGTCTACTACATGTATTATATTACACTACTCTAAGGTATCGAATAAAAG